GAGGGCATGAAGAATGAAGACTGAGCTCTTCTCGACAGGAAAGCCCTCGGAGTTATCCGACTGACGTTATCCCGCAATGTTGCTTTCAACATAGCAAAGGAAAAGACCACGGCGGGTCTTATTGCAGCTCTCTCCAATATGTATGAGAAGCCATCAGCCTCAAACAAAGTGCACTTGATGAGGCGATTATTCAATTTGCGGATGACGGAAGAGGCATCGATGGCACAACACCTAAATGAACTCAACACAATCACAACTCAGTTGAGTTCAGTGGAAATTGAATTTGATGATGAAGTTCGAGCTTTAATTCTCTTATCATCTCTACCAGACAGTTGGAATGCTACTGTTACAGCAGTTAGCAGCTCATCGGGAAATAGTAAATTGAAATTCGACGATGTTCGGGATCTGGTACTGAGCGAAGAAATTCGACGGAGAGAATCGGGTGAAGCATCAACCTCCTCAGCCTTGCACACGAAGTCCAGAGGGAGAACTTCAGAAAGAAATTCAAATCATGGCAGATCGAAATCCAGACGGGGAAAATCCACAACGGGAAAGAAAGATTTTACCTGTTATAATTGTGGCAAGAAGGGTCACTTTAAAAGAGATTGCCGAGCACTGAAGAAAAATACTGGCGCACAGGAATCTGCCAACGTGACAGAGGAGACAGGTGATGCCATGATTCTAAGCGTCAACAGTCCGATTGAATCATGGATCTTAGATTCAGGGGCATCTTTCCACTCCACCCCATGCCGAGAAATCATGGAAAATTATGTCAGTGGTGATTTTGGGAAGGTTCATCTAGCTGATGATGAAACCTTAAAGATCGTCGGAAAAGGAGACATCCGACTAAAGTTGTCAAACCAAACCACCTGGACGCTGAAAGGAGTGAGACATATTCCTGGCATCAAAAGAAATTTGATTTCTGTAAGACAACTTGATGGTGAAGGATTTAGCACAACCTTTTCAGGCTGTGAATGGAAGATTACCAAATGAGCACTCGTCATTGCTCGTGGTAAGAAAACTAGTATTCTCTATATAACATCAAATTTAGAGAATATCATTGCAGTAGCAGATGCTGATGGAAAATCAAACCTATGGCACCAAAGGCTTGGCCATATGAGCGAGAAAGGGATGAAGACACTTTTGTCAAAGGGGAAGTTGTCGGATCTAAAGAATGTAGATGTCGGACTATGCGAGGATTGCATCTTTGGCAAACAAAAGAAAGTCATCTTTGCAAAGATTGGTAAGACACCTAAGGTTGAAAAGTTAGAGTTAGTTCATACTGATGTATGAGGACCATCTCCAGTTCCATCTCTTGCAGGCTCATTATATTATATCACCTTCATCGATGATTCTACAAGGAAGGTGTGGGTTTATTTTCTGAAGAAAAAATCAGAAGTCTTTGATACCTTCAGAAAATGGAAGGACATGGTGGAAAATGAGACTGGTATGAAAGTCAAGCGGTTGAGGTCTGACAATGGAGGAGAGTACAAAAATAGGAGATTCAGAGATTTTTGCGCAAATAATGGGATCAAGATGGAGACAACAGTTCCCATGACACCGCAGCAGAATGGCGTAGCAGAACCCATGAACAGAACTCTGAATGAACGTGCCAGAAGTATGAGGATACATGCCGGATTGCCCAAATTTCTATGGGCTGAAGCTATCAACACTGCAGCTTACTTGATTAACCGTGGGCCCTCAGTTCCTTTGGATGACAGAATACCAGAGGAAGTTTGGAGCAAGAAAGAAATAAACCTTTCACACTTAAGAGTGTTTGGTTGTATTTCTTATGTACACATAGACTCTGCTGAAAGAAGTAAACTTGATGCTAAGTCCAACAAATGTTCCTTTGTTGGTTACGGCGGTGATGAGTTCGGTTACCGGTTTTGGGACTATGAAAATCGGAAGATCATTAGAAGCAGAGATGTCATTTTCAATGAGAATGTGATGTACAAAGACATGTCAACTGTAGAATCAAGCAGCTCCAATACCAAAGCTGAAACAAAGGAATTTGCTGAGTTTGAGGAGATTTTTGGAAATGATGTTCAGATCAGTCCTGAAGTAGTTCAAGAAGAACCAGGCACACCGGAACTAAGACGCTCCTCCAGAATTCCTAAACCAACCCAACGGTATTCTCATTCTTTGCACTACTTGTTGCTGACTGACAATGGTGAACCAGGGTGCTATGATGAAGCAATGCAAGTGGAGGATTCAGTCAAGTGGGAGTCTTCCATGAAAGATGAGATGGACTCGCTTTTGTCAAATCAGACGTGAGAATTAGCTGAATTACCACCAGGCAAGAAAGCGCTTCACAACAAGTGTATTTACAGGATCAAAGATGAGCACGATGGGAGCAAACGCTACAAAGCGAGATTGGTTGTCAAAGGTTTTCAGCAAAAAAAAGGTATTGACTACAATGAAATTTTCTCTCCAGTCGTGAAACTGTCTACTATCAGACTGGTGTTGAAAATTATAGCTGCAGAGAATTTACATCTTGAGCAGTTAGATGTAAAGACAGCTTTCCTTCATGGTGATTTGGAGGAAGAAATCTATATGAGGCAGCCAGAAGGCTTCATAGAGGCAGACAAGAAAAACCTGGTATGCAGGTTGAAGAAGAGCTTGTATGGTTTAAAACAAGCTCCTAGACAGTGGTACAAGAAGTTCGATAGTTTCATGAGTAGCAGTGGTTTTACCAGATGCCAAGCAGATCATTATTGCTACATCAAGAGGTTCGACAATAGCTTCATTATTTTATTGTTGTACATTGATGACATGCTCGTTGCAGGCTCAGACATGTAAGAGATTATAAACTTGAAGCAAAAATTGTCAAAGCAGTTTGCTATGAAGGATCTGGGCGCTGCAAAGCATATTCTTGGGATGAGGATCAAGAGAGACACAAAGTCAGGGACTTTGATATTATCACAGGCTGAGTACATCAACAAAGTACTCTCCAGGTTCAACATGCAAGATGCTAAACCAGTAAGTACACCTTTAGGTATTCATTTCAGACTCTCCAAAGAACAGTCACCAAATACGGAGGAAGAACGTGCACACATGGTGAAGGTGTTGTACGCCTCAACAATTGGAAGTCTGATGTATGCCATGGTTTGTACCAGACCAGATATTGCTCAAGCAGTGGGAGCTGTTAGTAGGTACATGAATAATCTGGGCAAGGTACACTGGGAAGCAGTCAAATGGATCCTCAGATATCTGCGGGGTACCACAAACAAAGCACTTTGTTTCAAAGGTGGAGATACGATACTGACAGGCTATGTAGATGCTGACTTAGCCGAAAATGTTGACATCAGAAGGAGCACTACAGGGTATGTCTATACTCTAGAAGGAACCGCAGTGAGTTGGGTTTCTCAACTACAGAAGATAGTTGCTCTCTCCACAACTGAAGCAGAATATGTCGCTGTTACGGAAGCTAGCAAGGAGATGGTTTGGCTCCAAAGTTTCTTGGAAGAGTTAGGCAAGAAACAAGAAAACAATGTCTTGTATTGCGACAGTCAAAGTGTTATACATCTAGCAAAGAATCTGTCTTTTCATTCCAGGACAAAGCACATACAATTGCGATATCATTTTATCCGGTCTCTTCTGGAAGATGAGATTTTGAAACTTGAAAAGATCAGTGGAGCTCAAAATCCGGCAGATATGTTGACAAAGACGGTGACTACAGACAAACTGAAGTTTTGTTCAACTTCAGTTGGTATGCTAGAGTAACAAGACTAAAAAAGCTGTTGCATTGATCGAGGTGTGAAGACAGATTAAAATCAGTCTTCAAGTGGGAGATTGTTAAAATGGTTTTCAAGTTTGGTAACCAACTTTTAAAAAATGGTTTTCAAAGTTTGGTAAATGTTTCCTTGAAAATGGTTTTCAAAGTTTGGTAAATGTTTCTTTGAAAAATAGTTTTTCAAAGTTTGGTAGATGTTTGTTGAAAAATGATAATGGGATAATCACAATTAATCCCTAGGTTTTAGGGTATTTACAAGATTGAGTCCTTAAGTTTTAACTATAAATACCCTAGCTCATTTAGCTTCAAAACCATCCCAAAAATCATTTATTTCTCCCAATACTAGAGAGTTTTCTTGTGAGTAGTGAGTGTTTTGTAAACACCTGTAAATTTTCTCTCTTAGTAAAAGATCTGCAGCAGTCCGGAGACGTAAGCACAATTGGCTGAACTTCGTTATCAATTTTGGGTATTATTTTTCCGCTTTTATTTTGCATTCTCACTAATCTGGTTATAGGGAAATTACTTGTACTTGGTTTATTTCCTAACACGCTGGATGTTAAGCGCGTATTATACTTGGATTCCGACGTCGTCGTGGTGGACGACATCATGAAACTCTGGGAAGTCGATTTAGAAGGCAAAGTGTTGGCTGCACTTGAATATTGCCTCGCAAATTTCAGACAGTATTTCACGGACTTGTTCTGGTCGGACAAGGAATTGTCCAGCACTTTCAACGGAAGACAGCCGTGTTATTTCAACACCGGGGTCATGGTGGTGGATGTTGATAAGTGGAGGCAAGGCGGATACGCGGCAAAAGTGGAGGAGTGGATGGCGATGCAAAAGCAGAAGAGGATATACAACTTGGGTTCGTTGCCACCTTTTTTGTTGGTGTTAGCTGGGAATATAAAAGCCGTTCATCATAGGTGGAACCAACATGGACTAGGGGGAGATAACATTGAAGGAAAGTGTAGGAGTTTGCATCCCGGGCCTATCAGTTTGTTGCATTAGAGCGGCAAAGGATACTTCAAGTAAGCCTTGCGCCGTCGATCATATTTGGGCACCGTATGATCTGTATGGCTCACCAGTTCAATCTTTGGAAGAATAAGGGAAAACATTGGAGGATACTTCAACCTGTTGGCCATTAATAGTTACTTGAAGGATACTTCAAGACTAAATGAATTCTTGTATTATAGTGCATGAACGAATGTGCAACATTTATCTTCAAACACGGTGGTAGAGATATCAAATAGATAAGCGTAATTTAATATTGTCTGAAGATTAATAACTTAATACAAAATTAATGCCCTGTCAGTAGAGCAAATTCACACTCCCAACTTTTAAAAGCTCTGCTACCTCTAAAGCCCTACCACGAATTGATTGAACCTAACTTTGCTGTGGAAAAGAGTGAAAGGAAAAAATGACGGGAAAAAACAAACCAACTCTTACAGTACTTAAGCCGCAAGAATCAATGCTTAACTTATACCGGATTTCGTTTTAACGTTGATCAGAAGTTGATTGTGCTATATCTGTTTCAACAGGAGGCAATGCGAGCATGTTTCCTTTCTGAACACGGGGTGGAAGGTGTTTAGTAAGCTTTTGTGATCGAATGATCCAGGGCAAGAAGACACCCGTACCGTCACGAGGAAGTTTCTTGGGGCTCATTACCATCGGAGTCACAGGAGTTAGCATGACTACAGGACTTTGGAGGACTCCCAGTTTCGGCATCATATCCACGGCCTCATAGCCATTAAGAGCTCCATTTGACATTTCACATGGAACTGGTACACTAGGTTGCCATAGTGTCATTGGACCAGCCTGGGGAGCAGTTGGTTGTGAATGAACTTGGTTGGTGTCAGGTCGAACTCGGAAGAATGTAATGCTAACCCTCTTGCTTGGAGATGAGCACATGACGTGTCTTGCCATGTCAGAACTGTTTCCCCTCATTACTAGAAGAGATCTGCAGAATATGTTACAAGCTTGCTTGTCAAGTAAGAGCTATTACCATAAAAAACACACGTGGCTAAGTTGACCGTTTTACAGTATAATCAGAAACGAAGTGTCACTCTAATGCAAACACTAACCATATTAGAATCATACAATGTCACTCCATCACTCAAAACTTGCCTCATATTCAATAGGAAGGAGCGAGCTCCGAAACAGAATTTGCAGCACTTGCAATTATGATCTAAGCTGCTTCATCGTATCATATTTTTTCATAGTTTACTATCGATAGTTCTGTTTCCAGTCGGATATCAAACAAAATACAAAAGCATACCCTTCTTTCAATGAAAGTTTGAGTGCCCCCCTATAGTTGCCTTCACTATCACTCACAAGAGTGCGCCCAAAGGCCATTGTTGATTCAGAGAGCAGAAGCGAGGAGACTGGTTGGTCCAAATGTGGCGGTTTAAGAAACGGCTGCGAGTATTCACCCTGCATTTAAGGGAAACATAACTATATCAGTTATGTCGTTCCTGCAATTATAATTAAAGACATGATGGCATACATGCTATAACAAATAACGGAAAAAAGGGACGAGAGAGAAGCGAAAAAGTCTACCTCGTCAAAGAAGTTAATGATGCAACCATTTGGTTTCTTATATTCAGGTATAAGTTGCCACTGGATCAGGTGTTTTATAACACCTTGGAGAACAGCTGGAATTGGTTCTATACCGACTGTAAAACATTTAAAGAAAGAAGAAAAGGCCAATACGAGACCCCTTCATTGCCCGATATTCATAATTGATTGAACTTAAGGATTAAAAATTAAGAAACTAGAGAACCCAAACCGTATCACTAACTCATACAGGTAGGTCTTACTTGTTGAGTTGGCATCCTCCCTAACGTGTCCAAAAATAGGAACACCAAGCTGAATAAGCTCTCGCTTGTTTCCTTTAATTTGTTTGTTGAATAAAATGAAAGTTTCACCTGCCGTTATCCAGAAAAATAAGAAAGAATCAGTAAGAAGTTCAGAAACAAAGATGCTAAGTAGAGCAAGCGAAAGGTGTAAAAGTATTGCTGGAAATTCCAGATATGATGAACAATTGCAAATTGATCAAATTCCATGCATTATACCTTCTAATAACTCTTCAATCAGTTTTATGATTAAACATCAAATTCCCTGTATTTCTGATGATTATTAAAGTGATCAAGCAGGAAACATGAACGATTATACCTTTTTTCGAACAAAGCTAGAAAAGAAGGGATTAGCTATTTAAAATCTTCATGTTAATATCCTAAAAACAGGCTCAATTCAGGTAGGCTTTATAGTGGGATTGCACCTGATAGTTCACCGTTATGGCCAGCAGATCGAAGCTCACTCACAAACTCACTGAGCCTAGCCAGCTCTAAGTCGGTAAACACTTCCTCATACAACTTCAATCCTTTCACAATATTCACCTGCATTGCAGTAATTTACAAAAAAGTAAATATACTAGATTCCTTCTTCATCTCTGATTCCATTTCTTCATTAAATTGTGAAAGTACTCACCATGTGGCCTTTTATATGTTCTTTGGCGGAAAAGCCTTTCGTCAACTTGATCTGAGAAGTGCGGCCATCACATTTGTCGTGGTTAGAACAAATGTCGATGTTTTCCTCGACATGCTGAACTTCCTGAGATCCTGCATTGCCAGAATAAGTGAAATTAACTATTAACTATAGAATATAAGGACTGATAGGGTCAAATTTGAATTAATTGTCACGTTCTCAGGTTATAGACAAAACAAGGTAAGAAAAACACCAATTTCTCAGACAAATTAGCCTGTTCTGTCATAGTAAAAGATTACCACATTTTCCCTTTGATTTTTTCCCTAGTTTTTGTGTAAAGTATTAATCTAGTAACTGAGCTGTTATTACTATGTTCTGCTTCAACCTGGAACTGAGCTGTTATCTTAGTTACCATATTGTTTACTAATTTTAGAGGCTAAACTAAGCCACATGTAAGGACGGAAACTGTAACTTGTCGCAACGTCGGATAGCAGAACCGGCTATCCAAACACCACCCTTTTTGCCCAGTCGTAGAGCTCAATCATCAGTGGATCGATCTCCCAATCGACTCAGCTGGACTCAAGTAACTCAGTTAGGAATTGGGAATAGGCTTATCTGAAAGACACTATAGCTTATAGGGATGAGTAAAACTAGACTCAATTCGAAAAATTAAATTTTTTGACTCGATTTGATTTGATTGAATTTTTTTAAAAATTCAAGTCGAATTATACAAAAAGACTTAAATAAATCGAAACTTTTTATAATTAATAGTTTGATTTTAAAATTCAAGTCAAGTACATCAACTCTACATTATATATTTATATCGCATATGAAAATCTTTAAAGAAATATATATGTATATCATATATGGTTATAAAAATCTATTTAAATTATAATTAATTAGTATCATAACATTATAAATATTTACAACTAAATTTAAACAAAAACTCGAATAATTTAAAGCTTTTTAACTCGATTAAATACTCTCTGCTCGTTTTATTTCAACCACCAAAAATGTCAAAACGAAAAAAAAAGGCAAAAGACCCAACAACAACCACCCCTCCTCCATCTCCCCCAAAACAAGGCCCACGTGAAATCAGCAAACGGGAAACATATTTTAAAGCACGGGAAACATATCAAGACAACCATGATACCATATTTTAAACCTACCGTCTAAAAGCCAAAAAATTTATAGTAAAAGATTAAAACTTTGTTTACCAAGAAAAAGCATACATGTATGTATTGATCTCGTGACAAAGCATGAGTTTTAAAGAGCCCTGTTGAATAGGGTAAAACGACATCTATCACCGTCGTAGGACCCCCCGGGTTGAATTCATAGTCTGAGGAAATTTTCAGAAGGTTTGGAAACGTTGAATAGTTTTATCAGTGGAGAATTACATGTTTTTGTTTGGTTCCTCAGAAAATGGAGGAAAATAAGGATGAATATGTGTGCTTTATTATGAGAAAAGCTTTCACTTTCTGGCTTTACCAAACACAAAGACAATGATGTTTGAGATTCAACGCCCGAATCTCTGCTTTTCACGTAGCCAGAAAACAGGGCCCGAAAAAACGAAGGAAAATTCTGGAACTCAAGTAATGAAAAAGGAAAGGATTGAAAAAAAAAGGAGAGAGATAAGTTATAGCTTTTTTTTAGCACGGTGACGCTGATAGAATCCCGGTAACTCGGCCCGATTTTGCGTCACAAATTCCAACAAGAGAACTGAAAACTTACTCAAACATGCGCAAAAAGAAAAAAGCTTTACCTAACGATCAAACTTGGCATTTGAGAGAACAAAAGAAAAGAAACAAACAGAGAAACAACACGTAATCAATAATACTTGTAAAAAAAATCAACTTTTAAGATCGAAGTAATAATATTTGTTTTCTTTTGATTATGAAGTTACCTGAATCAGTAGTATCACTGTCAGGGGAATCTTCTACTTCTTCGCCGCCAACTTCCCCATTTCCTCCATTTTCCATGATTTTCTGGGCAACTTTCTCCTTCTCATCATCCAAACAACCACCACGTTTCACGTCCTCCTTCTCCAATCTATCTCCTCTTACGGTGTTCTTGTCAGCCACCTTCTTCAGCTCCTCCGCCACATCAGCAATGGAGTGGTACTTCTGCATCTGCAGCACCGGGATCCAGTTCAGCCTCCTCCTGTGGATCGCCGTGAACGCCGCTTCGTAATCCGATCTTCCACCTCCTTGAAGCTCAGCCAAGTGACCACAAAGAGCATCGATGATGGCATTGGCAGCCGCGAATTCCCCTCGGAACCAAGAAATGATCGTGTCCTTAGTCAAGACGTCAGGAATCTCCGGCACAGCTTGCATCATCGGTCCCATGTCAGAGCCCACCGCTTGAGCCCGTCCCGTCCGCGATGCTGACCCCGCCGCGGTTGGCATCTCCCAACACTTCCTACTACAACCGAATATTAATCAAAACCCGCAACTTTTATCGTTTCGGATGCTCCGGGCTATCGGGGTTTTGGAGAAATTACCTGTGAACCGAAATTTCAGCTGTTTCGTTGAGAGAGTGAAGAAAAGGCTTAACAAAAACGGGTGGTGATTTGGCTTCGCTATGTTTTTGGTTTTTTGGTGTTGCAGCCGAGGACGGGCTATAATATGTTTGGAGCTTTTAAAGGGTAACATGTCCGTACTTGTGGGAACCACGGAAAGTGGTGACGTGTAGAGCTCGAGGAATTGGTGACGTGGCAAAACCAAAAGGAACTCGGGTCGGGTGGCTAAACGGTGCTGTGTAAATGGTTTTTATAAGATTATAAATAAGTATAACTTTTTAAAAGAATTTATTGTCCTCATTTTTTAAGCAGAAAAATAATATTATCAATATTATGGATGATAATTTAATCTGAAATTAATTGATTTTTGCTTGATTTCATCTAATAGGGTTGAATTTTTTTTAAATTTAAAATTTGGGTCAGATTTAATATATGATGAGATCGGGTCAAGTTTGGGTAGAGGGTGAAAATTTTTCAACTCATCCCGACCAAAGAATAATAGTGTAATTTTTTATGGTCGGATCGAGTGGAATGTATGTATTTTCGAGTCGAATTCGATTGAATGATATATATTTTTTGAGTCAGATTAAATTGACCAAAAATCCAACCCATTATCATTCTTAATCAATATTAGTATTTTTCTTTTATAAGATTTTGAGGATGTTTGATGTTTCTCATTCATTCTTTAAGTAATTGCTAATTATTATTATTTTAAATAAATACATTGTTAAAATGATGAGCTTTTCATTAATTTATTATACTTTTATTGTTTACTTTAAAAATATATAAATTATCGATTAAATTTATGATGTATTAATAAATGATATTATTTTACTTTTTAAATTGATATTAAATAAATATTTTTCCTTACTGTTATCAAATATATATAACATTTAATGGGGTTTTTCCCTTCTAGAAGCGGTAGCTTATATAATAAATAAATGCAAATATTGAGGTAAAAATGAATTTATTATAAATGCGAAGGCTATGGCTGCAAACGCATGAGGTCCCCTGCCTAAAGCTACGACCTTAATTAATTAATTATCAATCCTTTGAAAAATCAAGCAATTTTTTTTGTATAACGTATGACCTCCTAAAGTTTGGGTTAAGAACCCGACCCTACAAGGTAACCTTCGAAGGATTTAAAGAACCCACCACTCTGTCCTTTCGCTTTTTTCAAGATTTCTAGTCAGCGCGGTTTGAATCTAGGACATGAGACCAGCTCATAATCCTAAGAGCCCTTGCTTTGTCAACTGGGTCATGCCTACGGTGGTCAAATCAAGCAAAATTGTCCAAGGGCGGAAGTAAACATTTTCAACAAATGTAATATAATCTTCGTTCTCTAAAAATTGGCCCATCTATGATGATTTTTTTATTGATGAAGATTAAGATGAAGCCAGGATTTTAACTTGGTTGAGATAAAAGTATACTTTTTTAAAGTATAGGTAATTTATAATTATTGTTGTATATAATTTAAAAGTTATTATATTTTTCAATAAGGTCGTTTTATTATTGTTTATACTATAAGTAGGGACGGATCTATTAAATGCATGGGAAGGGATGTGCCCCCAATTTAGGGAAAAATTACATTTAATTTATATATAAAAAATTAATATTTGTGGAATAATTATGAATTGTCCTCCAGTTTTGGAGAAGTTATATTTTATCCCTTCTGGACTGAGTTCCTAACTCCATCCCTAACGATAAGGAGGTGAAAGAAACCGTTAGAATTATGATGCGATAATATTATCAATTCGCAGTATATATTGTGATTAAATATTATAGTTTATGTTTGGTTTATATATATGGATTATTATTGTTTTTAAGGTAAACTATGAATTTCATCGTTCAACTATCATTTTGATTTTGTTTTGATTATTCAATTATTTTTTTAAATCAGCACAACATTACATTTTGATTTTGTTTTGGTCACCCGTCGTTAAAAAATGACAATAATGTTGACGTGATGCCAAATGGTAAATTAAAAACAAAAACAAATATTAACGAACCAAATGTAACATTAAAGATGATATTGAAAGTAGAAAATAATTAAGTGACCAACATAAAACTAATGTGATAGTTGAATGACTAGATTTGTAATTTAGCATTATTTTTACGAAGGGGGTGTAAACAAGTCGAATGATACGGAGGACAAAGGAGGTGGCAAGTGGTGGAGTGTTCGTTTTTCATTAAAAAAAATACAAAAGAGTAAGGGGAAAAAGAAGCCTCCTAAGAATCTGTATAGCCTTAAAGCTCCAATATGTCACTCTCTTTGCAAGAACTAAGAAATAGGGTGCTTTCAAAGATGACAAAACTCGTTTTTTTTTTCCTTTTTCCCTTTCAGGGAACTTGCTTCTCTTCCTCTTCATTGTTTTATGGTATTTTTACATCCGCTTAAATGCATTATTGTCTTTTAAATCAAGTTGTCCTTATGAAGTTTAAACTACTCTTGTTTATCTCAAACCGTTCGTTAAACAAAAAACAATGGAAAACTATATATCTAGTCCTTCAATTATTTATACGGTTCTGTTTTGGTTATCCTATTATTCTTTTTTTAAATCATCGCTAAATTTAAATTTTTATTCCATTTTCGGTCATAAAATTCGATTTAGTTTTTTAGTAGAATCAACTAATTTTATTAAAAAAAACCAAATTATAATGAATGTTTATGTAATATCACAAATTTTAGATTGGTGACTGGAAAGTAAATTTCAAAAGTTTGGGGATCAAATTGTAAATTTGTAAAAGCTAATGAACTAAAAATGTAAGTTTTCAAAAGTTATATTTTGAACTGTAAATAAGTAGTTCAGCCCAAGAATAGAATTTTAGTGGGTTTCAGAATTTTGATCGAGACTTTTATAAAAGTCTATTAAGAGATAAAGTTCGATAAAATATTCGGATAACTAGATCGATTCAGAAGTCTGCAAAAATTTTAAGGAATGTAGTTTGGGGCTAGAAATATTATATTAATATTTTTATTTAGTAGAATTTGATGTGAATTAGTGGAATTTAGAGGAATTTCCATGTTAAAGTGAAATAGTGAATTTTAGTGACTAAATTAAATTTTTAAAAAATTGAAAGGGTAAAGATGGAAATTCATAAATGATATTTTTATATTTATTTAACGATATGAAAATGGAGATGGAGGGGTGGTAATTATTAAGATTCATTAAGGGTAATTTGGACTTTAGGGATTAAAATGAATTTTAAATTCATTAAATACAAGTGTCCGTGAGATTTTTGTGTGGAAACTTCAAGAAATTTTTTCTATTCTTCAATTTGCTGGCGTGAACTCTAAGATGATGAGTGAAAAAATTCTTTTCCATTTTGAGCTATTTATTAGGATTTAGGACTAAATTGTGAAAAGAGAAAATCATCTACATTAGATTCTCTTTCTTTTGGTGTAAATATTTCCATGTTTCATGCTAGAATTTGAGAGTTCATGGAAGATGTGGATGAAGAGGAAGTATACTTTCAATGATTTAAAGTTGGTTTTTGATGTTAAAAGTGTTATGGAATGGTAATCAAGCATGAAAATTGATTGGAATCAAGTAGAAGTTCATGAATAAGGTTTGACCACTAAGTTTTTTCACGAAGAAATGTTGAGTTTGAAAGTGTATTTGATATGGAAAAAAAATTAGAATGGTTGAAATTGATCTTGAAACAAATTTAGGGACTATTTAGTAAAGATTTAAAGTATTTAGCCTATAAGAAAAAGTGTTGGAAAAATAAAAAAAATTAAGGGCTTATAATGATTATGGAAGTGATTTTATGTGCTTGAAATCATGTTTTGGATTAAATTGAAGCTTGAATAAATTAGAGGATCATTTCATAAATTATGGAAATTAGAAGGATCTATGATCAAAAATGAGAAAGTTATGGTTCCATACTGAAATTTATTATTAATATGATGAGACATTGAATTAGGATTGATTTAGAATGGTTGGACTTGATTATAAACGAATGTTGGATGATGATTAAAGCTTGAAAACAAATTGGAAACCATTAGAGGACTACTTTGTAATTTTTGACCATAAGGAGGAATAATTGGAAAATTTTAATAAAATGTCCTAGGGATTAGATTGGATTTAAGGATGATGTTCATGCCTTGAAATTGAGTTTTGGATCATTATGGAACATGATAAGTTAGGAGGTCATTTTCGCAAGTTTTTAATAATGAAATGATAAAGTTGTAAACATTTGAAAATTGAAACACTGAGCTGGAAATTAGTGATGGAAAGTTGATTTTGGATTGAAATGAAAAGTTGTGTAATTTTAGGGGGACTATTCGGGAGTTTCGAAAAGTTAAGCGATGAAATTTGTAAAAGTATAATACTAATGTATTAATTGAGAAGTGTTGGATATAGTAGGAAAATTATGCTTTATATGGATTAAAGTGACTATTAAAGGGCTTGAAAAGATAATTTGATAGAGTTAAGGTTGATTTCGGTTTAGTAAGAAATTAGTATCTAATGTACATGAATATTATTTTTAGAATTTTGATTGAATTAGAGTTTATTATATTAGTATGAGTACTAATATATGTTTGAAATTATATATATCGGGAAATCGATTGACGTGTAGATCGCGACCGAAAGCAATCTCAAAGTGAATTAAAAGAAAAGGATAAAGCCCAAGAGTGAAGTGATCATATTATTAAAGCTAGTGAGACACCAAGTGACTGCAACTGACTTTTCGATGAGATCTCTACCGATTTAAAATGAAAATATTTTCAAAACATATTTTGGATAGATATTTTATTATAATTTTATTTATTTCATTGTAAATGATTATTTTTTTAGTATGAACTGCCCAATACTGGTTTATGAGATTTTATTTATATTCAATCATAGGGATGTTTTATATGAAAAAAATATTATTTTAATTTAAGCCCAATGTGTATGATTGAGAGTCTTAAGTACAAATCGCATGCTATGAGATGGAGGGATTATATGATACATGTTTATATTGCACCTATGGTGCAAATCTATGAGGCACTCTCGAGTGCAATTTTACGAGGTATTTTTTAGTGCAAATTTACAAGGCATTTTTGAGTGCATATAGTGCGTACAC